CTTTGAGCTAAAAGAAACTAAGTATGATATCGCATAAAGCTCTTCGTTCAAGCTAAACTAAAATAACAATGTCTTCGTCTTTGAATGTAATTAGTATTGCTTATATTTCAGCTGATCGGATATCCATACTCGCTTCCACTGACATCGACACCCATGCTACTTTTGCATTAATCCAAATTTTCAGGTCTAGATTTTTTGAAAATCATCCTGTACGATGAGAGCTTATGAAAGTGGGCATCTCCATTGATTGGGGTGTCAATCACCGTGTGAGCACCATTAAAGACTCTGGGCATCCGGTAACGCTGTCAAGGCGGAATAAACGTTTTCTTGGTGCTGTCAACCTCGATCAATTAACGTTGCTTTCATGCAGTTGAATTTTTACCATGACATTTAATAGGCTCAGGCTTCCCCGTGATGAATTGCACACTGGAACATCCTTCCTGAAGGACCGAATGAGCCGGTGTTCAACCGGCAGAATAGTCTTGATTGATGCTGCGTTATGGTCGGCTTACTTTAAGAATGAGCTAAGAATTGATTGTTCCAATTTCCTGCGCCTTGTCACAAGTATCAAAAGAGGTTTTCTCGGAATTATAGTTAAGGTCGGCCTTTTAAAGACGATGTTAGCTAGAAATTTTGCTTCGACTAACTCGAAATTATCTCTTTTCATAAAACAACAATCGACTTAAAAACAAGTTAGAGGACTAGCATAATAACAACGCTATTTGCGTTTGGGCTAGCACGCATTATCCTAGTGTTTATTTCAACATTTAAAATGCCATTATTAGATAGAGAAGGCCAATGGAGAACTGCAACCCATAAGTCAAACGTAGGCCAAGAAACATTTAAAGCTCATTTCTGGATATCGTCTCCTTATTGTAGAAATTAACAGATTGATTTGAAAGTCTACAGAAATGAAAAAAGACTCAAGCAGGTCAAGATGTTTGAGGCAGCATGGGGTTGGCGGCAGCTGTCCCCTTTGAAGACGGAGTGTTTTTCGTTTTCTTCTCGGTGTGTGTGTGTCTTGGTTTATTAGCTGGGTTCGAGTGATTCAAATTCGCGGGTGGTCTTCGGATAAAAGTGTATACAGCTTCCACATGTCCGACACAAAAGAATTGCGGCAGTGAGTCACACATGGTTGCTGGTCCACCCATGTCCACTTTTCAGGCCCAGCGTTCCTAGCATAAAATCTGCAACTTCTATTTCTATAAAAGTAAAGCGCCTTTTAACGTGAGCGCAGCGGGCAAAACGCTCTCGACTGTCTAGAGCCAATTTTTAATTCTCCACTTTATGTATGGGTTGTTTATTTTGTGTTCAATGGTAATTTGTTCACAAGTTGTGCCAGCGGTCTGAGGACAAGAATCAAAATAAAAGAGCACCAAACGCAGGTCAAATTAACCAAATCAACCATAGGGGTATTTTTTGGAATCATCGTTCTTGACTATTAGTCCCTAATATAAAACAGACTGTGCTCAGGCAGTTTGCTGAAGAATACTCCTAGCTGCCACTGGGTCGCTGATGAAGGCAAAACCATAGGAGAACATACATGGCAAAGACTTGCAAATTTTGGTTCACAACTCTACTTGGGGCTTGCCGGGCACTTGAGATGAGCAATACAAGCCGGCTGTCTATGTATTAAGCGGCCAGGATAATAATTAGTCCGATTAGTTTATGCAAAACAAGCGGGCAATTAAGTAGTCAAAAAGTTGTTTCACAGAATTTCTAAAAGTGACCATTGGCTATCTTTTACAAGTAGCCTGTCTGACAGCTGATCTATTTTGTCCACGCTGAAATTGATGGGACCCATTCATCGGCTTTGTGAAGTCTATTCCCAACTATTTGCAACACAACTCGAACGGACTTAATTTCACCAGCGTAGGACGTCAGCTGCAAGATGTCCTGCTCAAATCTGGCGATTATTATGACTGATCAGAATTTATAAGCGTCCTTCCGATAGAAAACAAACATGTTTAAATACTTTCGTCTTATCGATTTTTAGACAGCGCATTTAATCATTGAAAAAAAGAACCACGAGAAGAGTCCAAATGACTTAGAAACAGTTGGCAGAACCATATGCGAGGGAGAAACAGCGGTTCGCACAAGGAACAGGGAAAACGGGCTATGTTTGTTATGATGGAAGACAAAGTATCCTTGAATAAACAATAAGAGAACGTTTGGACGTCGTAGATAGCAGAAAAGAACGGGATAAAAAAGTGGTTGGAAACAGATCGACATCTGAAGTAATAAGTGAAAGTGATGCATTTTAGACTTAAAGTAGTAAGCCTAGCGTTTCTGATTTCAGTCGATTACTGAACTGGCCGTACAAGTGGGGATATCTAAACTTAAACAAAGGAGCAGTTTCATGTAGGGTTTGCTCAATGAGCATTTTGGGAAATGATATGTAGATTTAAGTTAAAAGCCCCATAAGTCACAATTAGGATGGGATTCATGCTAGACTAGACAGCTTAAAATAAGAGAATAGGCGGCGAGGTGCCTCGGCGATCATTAAATTGTTCAACTTATTTTGGAAAAGTCGACCACATTTTTTAACCGATGACTCAGAAGCCTAACGATAACTCATTTTAGATCAAAAAATAACAGGGGAGAGAAGTCAACAGCGTCTAATTCGCGTAAAACAGAGGCAACAACGCTTTGCGAGTCGAAGCGGCCTTGCTATTTTAATTATGTCAAACTGATGCACTTCGTTTTTTTGAAAACAGAGAGAAAGCGTTGTGTGCGGTTATTCGCAGCCTTAGTCAGCAAATCTTCGGACAATGTGTCAAGAACAGACAAATGACGAAAACAGAAGTCTTCTACGAAACGGTATTCATTCTGAATGAGACCAGACAATGTTCATCTTTCAGCAGCCGAATTTTCAAATAAGGAGTTACCTACAGGTGCAGTGAGGGCCGAGAAGACCACTTATGACTTATTAACCATAATCAGTCGGCCATACCCAACCTCATGTTTGCGGGACCTGAGGTCTGATCCCAGGTTAACTGACCGTTGAGAATTAAGCAGTTCACCTATCTACCAGTCAGCAAGGGAGGAACTGTCCTCTCGATTTTAATTATGGCAGAGACGTAATCGTCGACGAGGTTACGGAAGTTGATCGTCTAGCTGTACATTCGGGCTCAACCTGGAGCCCTCACAGGTAGTCATGTAACGACTGGCGGTGTACTTAGATAAGGATACTGCCCACAAGTGCAAAATAGACGCGAGTTGCCATTTCTGACCAGCACCAGCCAGCATATATCAGATTCCATGTTTGGAAGACCCGGGGTTCTTATCTGTCCTCACCCAACAACCTCTTTTATTCTCCGGTTTTACTGCATTTCTTACATTCTTATCCTTAATTCTGCTACCTTTCGCCCTTGCGAGGTCTTCCGTCCATCCCACACTTCTTATTTATGGGTCCTTTCGTCAGCTTTCAGCCTCAGTTTCGTAATCCGATCTTTTGCCCACTCTTCAGCGTTTAATCATTGTGTATTCACTTTCTGCATTTGCCTCCACCTTACAGTACTTCATTTCTGTTCCGTCGTTTTCAGCGCCGGTCCGGTCGTTTCTTTCCGTTTCTCCGAATGTCTTTTTCTCGTTCTGCCACCTTCTCCCCTTTTTATCTTCTCATTGTGACTCGCTTTGCATTCGTCCTTTACTTGGTATTGCCATGGTTACCAGTTTCCAAATATCTTCTACCCTCACGTGCCAGTTTATGGACTCTCATTTTCGCTGGTTTTTGTGCTTTTGTCTGCCCTTTCTTGCATATTGTTTCAGGTGACCACATTAATTCGTCTTCGTTTTCCATCCTAAACGATGTTTTGAAAATTGTCATCTAGTGGCTCTAGTCAGACCGAAAAACAGTTGGTAACATCAATTCAACTGAAGAAATTTCCGCTGTTCTTGATATTCAAAGAAACCAGTTCACACATAATGTGAAAATTACATTTGTAGCCCTTATCTCTTAGCATCATTTGTCAATTTACAGCAATCTCTGTGGGTGGCCAGCATCGGGCAATCAGAGTTATTTAACCGTGCATGCATATAGGAGAACTAAAGTGTTTCTATCTTATTTTAAAAGCATCAGTTACTGGCGTCTTATAGCAACTATCTTAACCTGGACCAAGAAACTAAGGACAGGAAATAAAAACCGCGGAAAGTAACGGAGTTTGTGCAAAAAACTGCCTTGCAGTTTATATTTCAGTTGTGAGTTGCTAATGCACTACTGGCTGAGCTTCATGTTAGATAAACGCAGAAGATTTTCAGTCTCCACGCCAATCATATGAACAGTTAATCTAGATTAACTCTAAATCTGGAAGGGCGGAAACATAAGAAATGAGAACTTAGTCTCTTAAACAAATATGCTCATATGCATTTTCTGGAAATATGAAAGTTTCTTATTTTGGAAAAACCACTTCCTACTTGACTCTTTCCAAAACGTTTTGCCATTCACCATTTGGCTGAAGCAAAGATCGGCAGGAAACTTACAGTCAAATTTTGCGCCTTCACGACAGAAAAGATAGTTATTTGGTAATCCTTTTGCCTTAAAGTCCCTGGCCAAGGTGTTCGATTTGTATAGCTGCAAACGCCTTCACCGTCCAAATATAAAACGAAATCGCCACCATTGTTTTACTTTTCGCAACATGTTTGAAGAAAGTGATGGCGAACTTTCCAATACGTATTTTGGAACGTATCATGACAAGCTACTACCAAGAGCTTTCAAATAGTTCAGAGTTGGGTCAATGTTTGGAGGATTTCCTCTATGTGGAGAAGCACTCAGAATTTCATTTCGACCAAAATACATATAAGATCGTTTTGCATTAATAACTGACAGTGCGCGAATATACAGTACTGCTATGCCATATCACTTCATCTCGGCTGTCTTTGACGGATACTGAAGGTGAGTTGGCAGGATCGGATTCCGGACACGGATGTACTGGAGCGGACGGGAATCCTCAGCATCTACGCCATACTGAGACAGCTGCAGCTGCGGCCACCTCGTGCGGATGGACGACGAACGGCTACCCCAAACGACTCTTCTACGGAGATGTCGCTACGGCTTGCCGCCGACAAGGAGGCCAAGTCTGTCGCAGCAAGGACACTCCGAAAACTCGCAAATCTCAGCTGCCGCCGTCTCTCAACGCCAACAATTAACCACTGCTGATCTGCCCACGATGCTAACGGACGTTCGGGGCACCGAATGGTCTCATTGGACACCTGCATACCAATTGCCGCCCCCGGACGGCACAGCCCGATGTCCCTCCATTCACCCCTACCCCGCCATCCAAGCTGACAGCCAGCACTGAACGCACTCACGAACTCCCACTACCACCCTCCTCCCTCTTCTCCTCCTCCTCCTCCTCCTCCTCCTCCTCCTTCATTGCCTCAAAATCTGCTACAAACACCCACCCCCACCAAATACCTCAGCGACGTGGACTCTATCCATACCTGTCCTCGTTGTGACCGCACCCTCACCTAGCACATCGGCCTGGTCGGTCACTTGCGAATCCGTCGCACAGAGACTGGCAAACCAGTGCCTGGGGCACCAGGCACCCGCCTTTAACTGCCCTCACTGTATCCGCACATTCGCCCACCGCATGGGCCTACTAGGCCACATACGCACTCACGAAAACCTGCGATAGACAACCGCCGGCTACGCCACACCATCACATCTTCCCCCACCAACATCACACGACATCGCCATCCACCACAAGCATCCAATTACCAACTCCCACGCAGGTGGGCAGTGCAGGTTACGTCTCCGTCTCCAATGATGCTTCTTTGCTGCATGTGTGATTCGAGTCTGAGGCTATCACGGGGCGTCAAGCGCTGCGGCTTGGAGGGCTGCTGAATGACGCTCCAACGCAACTCACGCAGTCTGCCCAGTTGTGTGTGTGTTTGTGTGGAGTGGCGGACTGGTGGGCTGAGAGCCAGGCTGAAGCGACCCCTTCTTAACTTGACTTAACGCACTCCCATGCATGTGAGACGTATGCCATCTAACCCCCGTTGTGTGAAATCCCGGTGCTTGTGTTTGGGGGGCCCGGTCGTGCGTGTGGCGCGCGCTGACATGGTCGCTAGATATGTCAGCCACCGCACCTATTCCCCGCACCTGTCCACTGACCGGCTGGGAGAGTGACTGTGGCCTGGGAATGGGAAGGGAGAGTGAGGTCGACAAGTCAACACATTTTCCTCACTATAAACCATCTGACGCTCTTGAAGGTATCCCGGTGGGCCAAAAGCTGTGGCTTGTAAGATTGCCAACAGACTGGATAACTTGGAGCCCGCAGTTGGTCCAGTGTTGTGTGTTTGTGTGGAGCGGCCGACTGGTGGTCTGGGAGACAGGTTTTCATGGCTCCGTATTAATACGTCTTTATGACACTCACTCCGTGGGATCTGAGTCAGGTGTGACGGCACGCCTAGGTGCGTCTTCGGCCGCGTCAGCCTCCATTCTCTTTGTTCTTGCTGTTAGTCAAAAACCTGGTTATTTGCTGTGTGGACTAGGGATCGTGGAGTGGAGCACCAAGGTGGGAGCACGACCGTGCCATCCACCTACGCCCTTCCCCGCCTCTGGTCTTCTTTACTCTGTCCTGACACCAGGTGGGGAAGGAGAGAGTCCGGTAGATGCTGTGCAAGTCCATATCCATTATAAACTAAGTCACGCACAAGTCACCGTCCATGCCCTCACCTTGATGCGGAGCACACGATGAAAATCGTCGTTGACGACGGTCCAGTTGTCATTATGCTGTAAATCTTCCTGGCAGCTAAACCCATTGCTTCCAACTATTTTGTTAAATGTCACGTTTAATGAAAAGGTGAATTTGTGACCACCAACCCAATAACAGAAAATTATTCACGTATAGACCTAAAACGTTCTGATCAATCTTGAGGTACTTGAAACCGTAGTCTTTTAGAAATATGAAGATGTATAATTTCCAATGGTATACTTAGACGAATTATCACGCATACTCATCTAGGAATTCTTCCATTTTTAAATGTCTTTTTCATGTTAATGTTGAAGACAACATTATTGTGGTTAAGTGATTGGAAACGATATTGTAACGCACGTTTGGAGCAGGTGAGTTTACGTCTCCTTCTGTAACAACAGATGCATTTAGAAGGCCTTAGAAATAAAATTTTATTGGATGGTCCTTTTTCGCAACACTCATAAAATCGACCAATTTCCCTTTAAACTAC